CACCACAAAAGCACAAGACACACATTTGCAGGACAGAAGAATTTTTGCAGATCTCAAGTTAAAAACCCACAGTTGCAGCCGCAACCAGCAGCAACAAGGACAACAATTCACGGGCTGCGAACACACAGACCACCTCCACAAGAGATTCTACTTCAGCTCAACACGACAGCTGTCGTTGCAGGCGTGCTGTCTGTGGACAAAAATGGAGCAGCAATTCCCTAAAATTGGGGGGCCCGAAAACAGGGCCCAAAAAAGCTTCCAAAATTGGACCTCTTGTTGGCAGAAAGAGAGGAGGTCTTTTCATTGTTTTACATGCTTGGGTCCCAAATTATGACCCCAAAATGGGCCCAAAATTGGGACCCAAAAATGGGTTCAAAACTGCTCCTGCAACCACAGCTGCAAATTCCATGGAGCTAAAGCCACCACAAAAGCACAAGACACACATTTGCAGGACAGAAGAATTTTTGCAGATCTCAAGTTAAAAACCCACTTTGGGGGGCCAGACGTGCGTTGCCAGAAATTCATGGTTGCAGGCACCCCCAATTCTGGTCCCCAAACTTGCTCCATTTCGCACTTTTGGAAACTGCATTGAGAGAACCAACACACACGACACAGAGACACACGATACAGGACAACCGACGACCGCAAGAACCGACGGACCCACAAAGAAACATGCCAAGTCACCAACCGAGTTGAACTAAAGAAAAGCCAAAATGCCAAAAAAACCAATAATGGACCCAAGGCCAACTGAGAACCAAGACCGGTTCAACTTGAATGACAAGAAACAAACCAGGAAACCCAATTGACCAGAAGCTGAGGGACCACCACAACTTACAACAAGGGAAAAGGACAGACTGAGCTCCAAGCACAACAACTTTGGAATCCGTTGGAACAGATCCGACCAGCAACATCTAAGGAACATGAACACAAACAAGCAAAACACAAAAAAACAACCACAATCAACAGACCCAGAACTCAAGACCGGACACTTGGAAGACCAAGAGGCCAACCGAGATTGAAGACTGAAGAGAGAAAGATCCAAGCGACTTAAGGCAGCCTCTTCACTCCATCAGCAGCTGAATAGAACAAGGCAAGACTTAGAGTAAGGATAAAAATCAGCACCAAGACCACCGAAAAAGACACAGAACCAACAGGACCGATCCAGCGACTCTAGAGACTCAAAGACTCCAAAAACAAATTTTTGAACCAAAAGAGTCTTAAGGACCACTTTAATAACCTGACTTTGAACCAAGAAAACACCAAGGGGTGTCTTGCACCATTTCAAGTCCAGATCGAGCCCAAAGATGTCTCAACACTACTTGGGCAGAAAAACAAAAAACCCAAAACCGGGTGTCTTAAGACCACTTTGATACTTTGAACCATGGAGTGCTTGGACTTGCAGAGAGATCCAAGAAATTCTGCAGATGTTTTTTGAGCTTGCCAGAAAGTTGCAATAGTTGGTCTCCAAAAGTCACCTTGAAATTATTTATCAAAAAAAGTAAGTTGAAAAAAAAAACAGCACAAGCAAAACCTGACAATCAACAAAAGTAAGACAATCCAAATGTAAAACCATCAAAAACAAGCTCTGACAACAAAACACATGTCAGATGTACTCCGGTGTTTCGCTCGCTTCGCTCGCACTTATTCACATTGTGGAAAGACACTTTGCCTTTTCAAAACGGTTCGGTTTGGGCGTCGCGCGCAACATGCACGTCTCAGCAGTACAGTTGAACTCGTCTCGTCCTGCAGTTGATTTCTGTCCAAACGGCACTGTCAGAGGCTTTCAAAAACGCTTGTTTCAAGCAATTTCAAATCGCGGACTTGGGAGGTCAAGAGGAGCTTTTTCACGGAGAAGACGCGCTTCCTGACCATTGTTCAAAGCACTTCTAAACGATGGAGTGTTGGAAGATTTGCCGGATTCCTTGGCCATTGTTTCAAGCTGCTTTTTTCATCATCTTCAAAAATGTTTGAAAGCCACTGGAACGCACCTCTTTTTGCTTTTCAGCAACCGAATCTGAGCATCGAGGTCGTGCCAGGAAAGGGGGCCTGGGGGTCCTAGTTTAGGGGGTCCATTTGGCCCGCAAAATTAACTACACCCCTCCAGCCCCCCACAGTTGCAGCCGCAACCAGCAGCAACAAGGACAACAATTCACGGGCTGCGAACACACAGACCACCTCCACAAGAGATTCTACTTCAGCTCAACACGACAGCTGTCGTTGCAGGCGTGCTGTCTCTGTGGACAAAAATGGAGCAGCAATTCCCTAAAATTGGGGGGCCCGAAAACAGGGCCAAAAAAAGCTTCCAAAATTGGACCTACTTGTTGGCAGAAAGAAAGGAGGTCTTTTCATTGTTTTACATGCTTGGGTCCCAAATTATGACCCCAAAATGGGCCCAAAATTGGGACCCAAAAATGGGTTCAAAACTGCTCCTGCAACCACAGCTGCAAATTCCATGGCGCTAAAGCCACCACAAAAGCACAAGACACACATTTGCAGGACAGAAGAATTTTTGCAGATCTCAAGTTAAAAACCCACTTTGGGGGGCCAGACGTGCGTTGCCAGAAATTCATGGTTGCAGGCACCCCCAATTCTGGTCCCCAAACTTGCTCCATTTCGCACTTTTGGAAACTGCATTGAGAGAACCAACACACACGACACAGAGACACACGATACAGGACAACCGACGACCGCAAGAACCGACGGACCCACAAAGAAACATGCCAAGTCACCAACCGAGTTGAACTAAAGAAAAGCCAAAATGCCAAAAAAACCAATAATGGACCCAAGGCCAACTGAGAACCAAGACCGGTTCAACTTGAATGACAAGAAACAAACCAGGAAACCCAATTGACCAGAAGCTGAGGGACCACCACAACTTACAACAAGGGAAAAGGACAGACTGAGCTCCAAGCACAACAACTTTGGAATCTGTTGGAACAGATCCGACCAGCAACATCTAAGGAACATGAACACAAACAAGCAAAACACACTCTCTCTTGTATCCATGTTTCAAAACTGCGCTACGTTACGGTGTAGTCTCTGGCTGTTTCGTTGATGGTGTAAGTCCTCTCCTCCGCTCCGGCCCGGAACTCGCTCCAAAACGCGGCCTAGAAGGCTCAGAGCTGGCGTTTAGAACGCCCGAAAGTGTGCGCAAAATCCATGCAAAATCTTTTGGGCCATAGTGCGGCCTGGCGGGGTCGGAGTTTGCCAGCTCGGCATCGCTAGATTCCGCCGGAATGGCGCTGCGCCGCGGGCTCGGCCGGTTTCATTTGTGTCTTGCTCCGCCTGGACTCGGTGAAGACTGCGCGAAGACTGCGGCAGCGACCAAGTCTCTGGACGCAGACACCCTAAATTCGCACAAAATCTTTTAGTGCTGTCTGGCGGGTCCAGAGCATCGACAAGCATCCAGAGTATCGGCGAACATCCAGAGCATTGCCGGACATCCAGATCATCCGCGAACATCGGCGAGCATCCAGAGTATCGGCGAACATCAGAGCATCGGCGAGCACCCAGAGTATCCGCGAACACCCAGAGCATCGGCGAGCATCCAGAGCGTCCAGAGAACCAAGAGCATCAAAACGAGCATCAAGAGTATCCAGGTTAAGGACTACTGGGGTTTCTGGGAAGGTCTAAACCTTCGACAGTCTAAGCCGATCCTCGGCAAGTCAACAAGGCTGTCGAAAGAGTTGCACGCGCTTCAGGAACTGCTTCAGCCCCTATGGCTCCTCCCCGCCACAGCGCCATGGCGGTCATCAGCGGGCGTGCAAGCTGCCAGTGCACCGAGCGTTCCTCGATGCATCTTCTGTGATCCCAGCGCGAGCCAGGCACCCGCACTCGGGCGCTAAACTTGCTGGTCTTTGCGTGAAGTGTTGAATGTTTGCCAGCTTGGGCTTTGAGGGGCCACTTCACATGAAAATACACTGTCAGTATCACTAGGGCTGTACATCCTGCATAGAAAAGGGGTTCTCGGTTAGGGAAGCGTTGAGAAAACGGTCGTGAGCTCTGAACCCATTCCGTCTCAATCTTTGCCAGATCCCCGCTTCGACCGTGCAAGTGCTTCAAACACAAGACTAGGGAAGCGCTTCGGACCTCGAGACTCAATGGTGCTACACAAGCCTTTTGACCACGCAGCTCCAGCTCTCTCATGTAGCAAGTTCTTTCGGAAAGAGATCGCGCAAAGATGCTCCCAGGAATGCACGAATTTCGCTCGGCTTGTTCGCTGCGCCTTTGCTCTGCGGCCCTTTCCTTGCATCCACACACAGTCTACATCACAGTCTACGTCGTGGTGGGCATCTCGGTCGGGGTAGATGTCCCAGCCTTCTGTTGGAAACCTCGGACTTGCAGCACACTGAGTTTCCTTCTGTGATAAGGGAGGATCCTCAAGTGTTGAGCATAGCGGATTCAGGACTGCCACGAAGGGTCGGAGGAATGTCTTGCCCTGCCCACCACTAGTGCTTCGCCAAGCGCTGAGACTTCGGAGGGTACATCCTAGAAATAGCATTCTTTGATTTTTGGCTTAGGTGGAAGGCCAAGCAGAACATGTCCCGGGTGACCACGGGTCATTGTTTCCAAGCAGCGGGATGCCACGGCCAATCCGCAAACTCCAGCTGACTCAGATACGAGCACGTCTGCGCAGCATGGCAAAGAATCCACTTCACGTCGACCCGGTCCGAAGTCGCGGTGAGGCAATCAAAGGCACGTATAGCAAAACCACTCGTCTTCTTCCATCCAGAAACTCTCGCACGAAGCTTTCTACGAGGCCTGGAGTCTTCTTGGGCTTCTTGAGCTGTGGAACCTGGCTTGGAAGTACAATGCTGCTTCCAACTGCGGAGAAAACGCAGGAATACCTGAACAAAAGCACATTTCCTGCAGACAGTGCCCTGCATTCAGGGATGCGACGCTGTTGTGTTACATTTGCTGACCGAGGCAAGCCTGTTACTATCACATCCCTTGGTGAGTAAGGGTACTTGCCTCCTGTGTATTCTTCAATTTGAGATCCATCAAGCGGCTCGTGTGTAGTAAAGACGGGGTATCTGTTTGCTCGACGTAGGAAGAGACTCCGGAGATGCCACGTTGTCTGTTGTTCCTTTTGGCACCAGGAGGTTGAGCTCGTCAATCGGTACGATGACGCGGTCTTGTCGTTCGAGATGCTCTTTTAATGTGTCCTCGTTTCAAGAAACGCTCTGGGTGTCAGCAGAAATAGATGGCTGCAGCAAAGTGCCTCCGATGGCAACTTATGAAGATTGGGAGGTAGCTGGGCTTTGTTCACCAGTTCGAACAGATACGCCAAGCACCGTGACAGCATGAGCGGTGCCATGCGGTCGGTAAGGCTGTCTGACTTGAGCGCAAAGGTTCGAATGAGTTTCACACATTCCTTGCCGCAGATCTCTAATCCCACCATCCAGTCCTCAATCGGCACGTTCGGCCCACCAATGTTTGCCAAAGCCTGCAAGTCACCAAGTCTTTCCCGCTCACCGTTGAGATCGCCTGGAACAAGCGACACTGTGCTCATGCCACTGAAGAAAAATCGCACTGCTTGAAAGAACACCCAGTCTCCAGAGCGTTGATGGAATCGGCCAGCGCTGGTTGCACGCGCAAACTCGAGATGCTGACAAACGGAGACAACAAACTACGGCCTGCTTGGCCACGACCGTCGGGCTCGCCGTGTCCGACCCCGACAAATCAAAACAGAACAGGGCCCCATCAGCTCGATGACTCGCCGGATGTGCCAGGTGATCCGCCCGATGATCCGACGACCCATCGCAAACCAAGGAAACCGCCGGACGGCCATGTTACGGTTGAGGCTGGAAGGCGCATTTCGAGATGCAAACCCAGTCATCACACAAGCTACAGAGAAGTGTTAGCCAGTTGGAGCATGGACCCAGCGTAAAGAGTGTCAGACAAGGAGGCGGATGCGTATGAGATGAGCGAAGCAGAACCACATCAACCTGAAGCATTCTTCTGGGATGAAAAACACTGATCAGACCAGCTGGACATGAGCAATTCAAAAGGCCGGAGTATCAATTGCACCGCAAAGCATCAAGCCGGCCGCCTATGATCATGACACAAGCTGTGGACGAACGTCAGCTGAGCACGGGATGCCCCAAACAGGCATGGATGAGCATCCCATGAGTCACGGAGCTCACGAACGGTCCTTGCTGTGCTGGAGCAGATTGGTCGCTCGGCTCCACATGCTTGCAGTGTCTGGAGCACAAAATGTTTGGGGACCCCTGCTAAAACGAACGGCTGTAGATGTTATCTTGCTTTTCTTTTGGGGTGCGCATGCTTAGCAAAAACTGTGCCCTTTTGGTGTCTCCCAACGAACAGGGCCTAGTGACTAGTGCATAACATCTGGATACAAGCCGGTACTAGTGAAAGCAACACTGACATGATTGACTGCTGACATACCACAATCTGTGCAATAACGCATGAAGTTTACAGCTGGACTGGGGCGTGGGAAGAAACACCGAGCACCTGACGTAGAAGCGCGTCGGAATGTCACTGGGGTCAATGAGACCTGGCATCGAATGCAGATTTAGTGCGTCAGGCACAGGGCACATAGCAAATTGCCGTTTGGGTCAGCGTATTGCTGCATGCCTCAACCACATGTTCAGCATCCTTTTATCCTGCAAGGAATTACGGAACAAGTGACAAATGTAGACATGAGACACAACAAACTCAAGCATCCTTTTGTCACAGAAGGCGCAGCACATCCAGTTGCGCGATGATGCTTTTGCAACTCATGAGACTGTATCTGCGTTCGCGCTGGCGTTTTGCCCACGAAGTACCTGCCTTAAACGGCTGAGCACCATCTTTCTCGGGACATATTTGGAGAAGCACGTTTGGCATGTCCGGAAGGGTATCTCGGGCTTCGTTCTTCTTCGGCTTTCTAGCCTTGTCTTGGCTTGTGTTGTTCAGGTCCTTTGCAGTTTTCTTGGCTCCATACCGACACTGGGCTGCAATGTACTCACACGTGCCACACTTCACCCGCTTCACGGGAATCAACAAGTCATGGTGAGCATTCCGAAACGGAACATTGCACATAATAGCATGTCCAGCAGTGTCTGAGACACTGGCTTCACTCTGTGGGTACGATACCCCATCCTTCCAGCAAACCTCAAATGGTTCCAAGACCATTTTCAAATGTGCGTTGTCTGTCGGATAGATCTCCAGGAAGGGAGCCCAGGTGTTGTTGGCGGTCCAGTTGCGTTGCATGCAATAAAGGTGGAACCGTGCCGCTAGGGAATGTGCAACCAGCTCTTCCCACGGCTTTCCCCTCGCAACGTTCCCCCGATTGTTTGACGCAACCAGCTGCAATGAGTCTGGCAAGAGACGATCCAGACGAATGTTCAAGGCCTTCAACTCACCCTGAAGCTGCTGGCGGACCGCTTGGTCAAAACACCACCAAACCCGTGGAACCTGTACAGAGTTGTTCGCTGGAAATGCCGCTCCTGCGTTGAAAATATCCGACCATGCTGTAGATGTTCCAGGCACAGTACTATAAAGATCGGTATCTGCTGTCGGCCACCGAACGGCCGAGCAAAGAACCAGTGATAAAGCAACTGCTGGGTGAGAAAAACAAGGTCCGGCAGACCCATACGACTCCTTGAAGCACTTCGACATGGCATTAAACGCAGTAGCTGCCTTTGACTTGAAGATTCCGCTCGTCTCGAAAGCATGCCGCAACAGGCGAGGAACTCCACCCGAGAAAAACACAATCTGGTTGAACACATTCTCGTCATACTGCGTCCCGTTCCATTGCTTCATGGCCAAGACAGCAGCGTCTCGAGACAGTGGTGCAAGTGCTGCTAATTCACAGACGACAAGCTTTGTGTACTCGATATCCGGGCGACCCTTTATCAAGTTCAGTGTGCCTGTACAGAAGCAGGCCATCTGCTGGGGAAGCCTTGAACAAATGTCCGTAAGGCTTGACTTGGTTCCTCCCATGTGGCTCTGCCCCCTGCTTGCGCTCGCAAGGAGTTCTGCCTGATCCAAGAATAAAAGACGAGGGCAGTCTTTTGGCGCCGCTAATGCTTGTTCGGTAATTGAGAGCCACTGGTCAAGCACATCGTCCCTGCTTTTACAGCAGGACGCAATCCACGACAGAACACTGTCACCTGATGGGGTTGGAGTCGAGTGGCTCTGTTTCAGAAGCTGCAACACAGGACCAAAGTCCCTGCGCTCAAAAACGACGTTTTGCCCCGGCGCAAATTCCACAGTGTAGTCGTGGAAGAACTGCAGAAGATGCCAAATGATGATGGCCGACACCAGCATGTCAGCATCCGTGCTCAAGTATTGCTGTAGAAACAGTGCATCGAACACCAGCAACCGTCCATATCTGCGGCTGTCAGCATACTGCTTGCTTTGTGCGAGTTGTCGAACTAGCGATGTCTTGCCCGTGCCCCTAGGGCTCCAAAGAGCAACGAGCCTAGGCTTATTCAACCCTTGTGACCCGGTCGTGTAGTTCAGCTCAGCTAAAACCTTGTCCACAACTGTCTCCCTCTCCAAGAACGGACGATCTTCTTTGTTGTTGATGCGTCCATTCAAGAAGCGTTCGTCAAGATCGGGAAGCTCGTCGCCAAAGTTCTTCAGAAGAGTAGATCCTGCCTGCACACAAGCACCAAAAACAAACGCAGCCTGACAGCAACGACCGCACGAAAACGCACGACGACCAAGAGCCCCGGACATGCAGGAGTGCTACAAGCCAAAGGCAACATGCCCACGCAGAAGCCCCCGGCCTGCACTCGTCTTGCCGGAACCCCCCTGCTCTTTAAGGTCCGCGTGCTAAAGGCAAGCACTAAGAGCCCAGGGTTGATTCCCTCGACTCCCCAACACGGACACAGTAAGTCGAGCCCCAAACAAAAGCAACCGCAACTTGGAGAGCGAGCGCAAAACAGGCTGACCCCCACCTCGAGCCTAGGACTGACACCCCGTTCTGAAGCATCGGCAAAACACGAAGAACAACCAGATTTGCGTGAACCTAAAGCAGCCAAGAGCCCTCTGATCCGAAAGCCCCTCCCGCTCCCCGAAGTGCTGCAAGCCAACACATTGCAGACACCTTAACGACGAGGGGCATCACCCCAAAAAGCAACAACGGTGGACCCCACGAAAACGCACGACGACCAAGAGCCCTGGACATGCAGGAGTGCTACAAACCAAAGGCATGCCCACGCAGAAGCCCCCGGCCTGCGCTCTTCTTGCCGGAACCCCACCGCTCGGCAAGGTCCGCGTGCTAAAGGCAAGCACTAAGAACCCAGGTCCCTAGACTCCCCCTCACGGACACAGAAACCTGAAAGTCGAGCCTCAAACAAAAGCAACCACAACCTGGAGAGCGCAAAGCGAGCGCAAAACAGACTCCCCGAAGTGCTGCAAGCCAACACAGTGAAAACAGCTTAACGAAGAGCGGAATCCTTGCTGAGAGGAGAGCATGACCCTAAACCAACAATGGTGGACCGCACGAACTGCACACACAGAAGCGCAAAAGCCCCGCCGGCCTGAAGGGGTGCTGTTGATTTGGCTTTCTCGAGCTCCTCATTGGCCTTTTTGGCCTCCTTCTCGGCCCTTTCGGCCTCCTCCTTGGCCGTGTCAACCTTCGACTCGGCCTTGTTGAACGCCTCCGTGGCCTCCTTGATCTCTTTTTGGTTGCGGTTCTGTACGGCTAGTCGAAGCCTTTGGCGCGCAAAGTCCCGATCCTCCCGGGCTCCTTCCAGATCCTTCTGGGCTCCTTCCCATTTCTTCACAGCCATGTCGAAACATTTCTGTGAAAAAGTGTCCTGCCAGGCCCAGTAGCCGAACAAGGTTCGCACGGAGCGCAGGTCGGAGCTTGAAGCTTTCACGCCCTTCAAACTTCAAACTCGGACATTGCCAGCTCTGGCCTTCTCGGTGGATTCGTCGAAGCCTTTGTCCTGCAAAAACCACAACCACGCCACGAATGTTTGAAAATACCGGCTCTGAGACGTGCTGCCAGCATCAATCCACATCAAACAAACAACTGTCTAGAGCCGGAGCACCTCCTTGATCTGCCCTGTCTCCTGAACCGTCTTCTGCAACTGCTCCTCCTGGGCAAAGGCCACAATCTGCAATTGCGAACTTCCAAGAGCCCGCTCAGATGCAGCGCATTGGCCCACAACAAGCAAGGCAAGCAACAACACCCTCGGAGGCACAGCCTGCTTGGCATCTTCGACCGGGTCAGCGGTCTGTGCTGAGGCAGCCTGCATAAGCAACCAATCAAGCCCATCGAAATACGTCTGAAGCTCCCTGGCCCACCACACCGAAAGGACAAAAACCACCAAAGCAAGAGACATCGCAAAGCGCCTCGTCCACTGCCTTGTTTCGCGAAACCTGCAGCAAGGGGCACATTCTCAAAAATGCTAGTGTCAGCGAGCCTTCACCTGCCTGATCGAAGCTTGCTAGAACTGCGAAGCCCTCACCAGCAAGAACAGGCTCCCTGAAAGTGCCTCGGTCGTCGCCTCTTTCACGTCATCCTTTTCTTTGGGGGCCTCCCAACATGGACTGATCCCGAAAAGACCTACATGTGCTGCTGGCAGGACACTCGGGCAGGAGCGAAAGAAACGCCATCAGAACAGCACAAGGAACGCCACGCCGAAACGACAAACCCTTTTCGCCTTGACGTCTTCATGGTCTTCGGCCTCACCACGGCCCAAAGTGCCATCAGCCTCAGCTCTTCAGGACATACGCTTAACACTGAATTTCCTGTCGGTCTCGGCTTCCCGCCTTGGCCCTGCGTGCGACCAGCAAGTTCTGTGCCCATATTCCCGGAGGAACCGACCTCGCTCTGGCTTGCGGATCTTCGGCGTTCCATGCCAAACATCACATCCCACCTTGGAAACTGCACGGGCCCCGCTCCTAGCAAAGCCCGCGCCGTCTGCGTTGCTCGCCTGAAGCTACGCGGGAACACATCTAACAGTGTTCAAGGCGCTGGTCTTAGGCTCTGGCTGACACACCAAGAAGAGCGCCAGTAGCACAAGCACGCGCCCGACCTTGCGCGATGTTGCTGGAGGCCGGCTCATGGCGGCAATCGTCCTAGCTGTCCTCTGGCTCGAGCAAAAGCACTGCAATCTGCATGAACGAATGGTCGAGCTCCCCCTATTTCAGTCACGGGCCAAGTGTTTAGTTAGCCAACTGCAATTCAACATGCGCAGCAGTTGCAAGTGTGCACAGGCAACTGCTGCAAGATGCCTCGGTCGGGGTTCTCAGCAGGGCTCGGGCCTTGCGGCGGCACACTCCCCCAAAGCCCATGAAATGTGAAACCTTGCCACTTGCAAAGGCCCATGAAATGTGAAACCCTGAGGGTGGGAGGGGGATGGTGGGGGTGGGAGGGCCTGGTGGGCAGTGACGGGCCTGTAATCTTTCAACGCCTTGGCCGGCGCCCCGCGACGCGTGGCCCACCTGCGTGACCCGTGACGTCTGTGCGGCCCCGCATGCCCCCGTGACCCTGTGACGTCCCTGACCCCGTGGACCCCGTGACCCCGTGCCCCCGTAACCCTGTAACCCCGTGGACCCCGTGCTTCCCGTAACCCCGTAACCCCGTGACCCCCCCCGTGCATCCCGTAACCCCGTAACCCCGTAACCCCGTGACCCCCCCCCCCGTGCCCCCCGTAACCCCGTAACCCCCCGTCCCCGTTCCCCCCATAACCCCCCCGTGACGCCCTCCGTGCCCCCCGTACCCCGTGACCCCGCCCCCCCGTAACCCCCCCGTGACCCGTGACCCCCGTCCGTAACCCCCCCCGTAACCCGTGACCCCGTGCCCCCCCCGTAACCCCGTAACCCCGTGGACTCCGTGCCCCGCCCCCCGTAACCCCGTAACCCTGTAACCCCGTGACCCCCCCCCCCCCCGCTTCCCCATCTCGGCTCGAAAAGGTCACGGGGCCACGGGGTTACGCTTCCCCATCCCGGCTCGAAAGGGTACGGGGTTACGGGGTTACGCTTCCCCATCCCGGCTCGAAAGGGTCACAGGGTTACGGGGTTACGCTTCCCCATCCCGGCTCGAAAGGGTCACGGGGTTACGGGGTTACGCTTCCCATCCCGGCTCGAAAGGGTCACGGGGTTACGGGGTTACGCTTCCCATCCCGGCTCGAAAGGGTCACGGGGTTACGGGGTTACGCTTCCCATCCCGGCTCGAAAGGGTCATGGGGTTACGGGGTTACGCTTCCCATCCCGGCTCGAAGGGTCACAGGGTTACGGGGTTACGGGGTTACGCGCTTCCCCATCTCGAAAGGGTCACGGGGTTACGGGGTTACGCTTCCCCATCCCGGCTCGAAAGGGTCACGGGGTTACGGGGTTACGGGGTTACGCGCTTCCCCATCTCGAAAGGGTCACGGGGTTACGGGGTTACGCTTCCCCATCCCGGCTCGAAAGGGTCACGGGGTTACGGGGTTACGGGGTTACGGGGTTACGGGGTTACGGGGTTACGCTTCCCAGTCCACCCAGAGAAACAGCACAGCCACTCCCGAGGTGCGCAGGACAATCAGCCGAAACACACCCTAAACCCTGCCTGCCGATGTGCTCGAAGATGTTGAAGAGGATGGCAAAAGAGCACCTGGGCCGCGAGAGGGGGCCCGGGGTTCCCGGAGAGGCGGGGGAGACGCAGGTAGAGCTACAGGGGAAGGGGAGGAAGGGCAGCACAAGGCACTCCTGGGCGCACACTGACCAGACTTCGCTGCCTCGGAGCCCCTTGCCTACCAACTTAAACCCTAAACCTTGAACCTCTGCGGCGTCAGGCTCGGGAAAGCGGGGCGTGACTTGTGACTTCTGGGTGTCGGGCTCGGGAAACACGTGCGTGACTTTTGGGCGTCAGCCTCGAGAAAGCGGGGCGTGACTTGTGACTTTTGGGCGTCGGCCTCGGGAAAGCGGGGCGTGACTTGTGACTTCTGGGTGTCGGGCTCGGGAACACGGGCGTGACTTGTGACTTTTGGGCCTCGGCGCGACAAAGAAGGGCGTGACCTCTGGGCTGCGGCGTAAAAGCTCTTCAACTCCACTTGCCTCCGAAACCCGCTAAAAAAAGGCACGCCTCAATTCCAGGCAAGTCGCCACCCGAGCCCCCGAACCCCAAAAGTCACGCCCCTCCCCTCCGGCCCAACTCCCAAAAAGTCACGCCTCAATTCCCGGCCCAGGCCCCCCAAAAGTCACAAGTCACGGCCCTTTCTCCCGGCCCAGGCCCCCCAAAAGTCACAAGTCACGCCCCTCCCCTCCGGCCCAACTCCCAAAAAGTCACGCCTCAATTCCCGGCCCAGGCCCCCCCAAAAGTCACAAGTCACGGCCCTTTCTCCCGGCCCCGAAACCCAAAAGTCACGCCTCAATTCCCGGCCCAGGCCCCGCAAAAGTCACAAGTCACGGCCCGTTCTCCCGGCCCAGGCCCCCCAAAAGTCACAAGTCACACCCCTCTACTCCGGCGCCAAAACCCCAAAGTCACGCCTCAATTCCCGGCCCAGGCCCGCAAAAGTCACAAGTCACGGCCCGTTCTCCCGGCTCCCGCCCTAAAAAGTCACGCCCCCTCCCCCCCCCCCTGGAAACCCAAAAAATCGCCCCAAAAACGCGCTCTGTCTGCACTCAGAGCGCCTGGCGAGGATGATCGAAGATGTCGAGGAAGGTCACAACGAGCGCCTGACCACAAGGGAGGGGCCCGAGGGTCCCGGGGAAGGGTGGGGACGCAGGGCACTCCTGACTCCTACCTGCACACAGTCCGAACCTAGCAGCCTCGGAACCCCTTTGCCTGCCAACCTTTAACCTCGAAGCCTTGCGGTGTCCAGCTCGCAGCGAAGACGTCGAAGAGGAACCTGAGCCACCAGAGAAATTCCGGGAAGGGAAGGGAGCGGCCGGGCACTGTAGAACTACAGGGGGAGGGGAGCTGACCAGACCTCGCTGCCTCCGGCTGCCAGCAATGGAGACGAGGAGCACCTGATCACAGGAGGGGGCCCGGGGTTCCCGGGGGAGGGTGGGGGTGCAGGGCACTCTCGCGTTACAGCGGGGGCGAGAGGGAGGGGGCAGACAGCATGCAAGCACTCCTGCGCGCACTCGGACTAGACCTCTCTGCCTCAGAGCCCCTAAGCCTGCGAACAAAACCCGACCCTGAAACCTTGCAGCACAGACAAACCTCACTGCCTCGGAGCCCCTGAACCTGCGAACAAACCCCCAACCCTGAAACCTCTGCACCCCCCGGCTCGAAGTAACGGAGAAGACGAGGAGGACCTGAGCACGCGAGAGGGGCCTGGGGTTCCCGGGAGGGGAGGGGGTGCAGGGCACTCTAGCTACAAGGCGGGGCAGCACGCAGCACGCAAGGCACTCCACACTGGCCCGACATAAGCCATACCTGGCGCAAATCTGCGCGCACCTTGCATTCCCGACCGGCCAGGTCACCAGGATCCTCCAGCGGCTGCTGGTCAGCGTCCCAGAAGTGGACTCGGGACAAATCGACCTTGAGCTTGATGAAGCTGTTCCCGCGGGAGGAGGTCTTGAGGCAGGACACGAAGCGACCCTCCACGTCCGACGCGGTGAGGTAACGGCCGAAGATTTTAGAGTCGTGGAGGCATCGCTGGGTCAGCTGGCCCTTGATGTCCTTCTCGATCGCCTGCAGGTCTGCCTTGGCAGCCTCGTTCTGCTCGAGACACAGGGGGAGTCGCCGGGCTTCCGTCTCGCTGCCGTAGGGGCTGGGGTGCCACAAGATGCGCAGCCACTCGTGGGACCGCCAGGCCTCCGCGCACACCGGGAAGAACTTGCCGCCACGCTGGTTGGTCGTAAGCTCACCGAGCTTGAGTACCGTTTTGGGCTCCATCGCTCCTTCTTTTTTCACGACAAGAAAAAAATGCCGGCCACCGTCTCCACCGCGGAGTGCGTGGTGGCCCTGGCGTGCTTGCTGGTCCTGTGGGCCTTTTCTTTTCCTTCAACAAATGAGACTCCTGGAACTCTTCAGCGGCACGGGGTCGGTCGGACGTGCCTTCGCGGCCCGTGGCTGGGAGGTAACGAGTCTTGACAGCAACCCAAAAGCCAGCCCAACCATCTGCTCCGACATCCTGCAATGGGACTACAAGGCCTTCGAGCCCGGGCACTTCGACGCAGTGTGGGCCTCGCCCTGCTGCACCGAGTTCAGCATCGCACTCAAGAAGCGCCCCCGCAACCTGCCGCTCGGAGATGCCCTGGTGCTCAAGACCCTGGAGGTCATAGACTACCTCAAGCCTCGGTGGTGGGCCATCGAAAACCCGAGCACCGGGCGCCTCAAAACCCGCCCCTACATGCAAGGGCTGCACATGGACCGGGTCACGTACTGCAAGTACGGCTTCCGCTACAAGAAGCCCACGGCCATCTGGCACAACCTGCCCTGGACCCCCTCCCAGGGGCCCTGCCGCAAGGGCGACCGCTGCGAGGCCTTCCAAGGAACTCGTCACCCAGAGGCCGCGCAGCGAGGGCCCACCAAGGGGCGGCAGGGGAGCAACTCGCGGGACCAGCTCTACTCCATCCCGCCTGCGCTGTGCGACGAGATCGCCGCGAGCGCAACACTTGGGTTAAATGGGCAAGGTGCGTCTCTTCAAGACGCCTGAGTACTCCGTCAAGCAGCCGCCTGACCCCGTGGTTTGCAAGCCCCCCGCCAACGGTATTTTGTGTGCTCCATCTGCAAGCGGAAAGACGGTACTCCTTGTGAGCATGATTTTGGAGCAATACCGGGGCTGCTTCGAGCGCATCTATATCTTCTCACCCTCGGTAGAGGTCGATTCTGCCTGGCAGCCCGTTAAGGACTATATCCGAGACGAGCTGGGCGTGAATACGGACCGGGAGCAGTGCTGGTGGGAGGATTGGGACGAAGCGGCGCTGCGGAAGATCATCGCCGACCAGAAGCGCATCACCCAGAAGAGCAAGGAGCTGGGCCTGAAGAAGCTGTACCAGGTTTTGGTCGTTCTAGATGACCATGCCGATAATCCTGCGGTGCACCGCAAGACGGGAGATGGCGTTTTGGACACCCTGTTCATCAGGGGCAGACATTTTTGCATCAACACCTGGGTCTCGACCCAGAAGCTTCGGCTCATGAGCAGCGCGGTGCGGGTCAATGTGATGTTCTACTGCGTCTTCCGGTTGCGAAACCAACTGGAGCTGGATGCCTTGGTGGAGGAGCTGAGCGCCATGCTCCCGAAAGAAACCCTTTACGCCATGTACGAGGAGGCCACCAGGGAGCCCTACAGCTTCTGGTTCGTTAACCTCCGCGCGCCCAAGGAAGACATGTTTTGGGTGCGCTTCGACCGGAAGTTCTTGCTGAATGGGGACGCTCCTGAGCCAGATGGCGGCCAAGTTGTTGGGGGGAGGCCCGATGTGCGAAAGTGAGTGCAGCAACATAAGGTGCTGCACCAGCACGCAGGGCATCTACGACCCCAGCCACTGGCCCCCACCAGACAGGCCCCGGCAAACCTCCGATGGCTCCAACGCCAGCGAGTTCTCGGCGCGGCCCACCCGGTTTTTCAGGCGCCGTTCTAAAAAGGGCATGACGAGTATCTACGTGGACTCGCGCCTCCGCGCGGAGGGCACGGACAGCAGCTTCTCCTTCGACATCGGTGAGAGTGTGCACATTCAATCCGGCGCCAAACTTGCGGTGTACAAGGTCCGCGTTGCTGACGCCTTTTTGAGCACGGACCGCGGGACGTTCTTGTACTGGGAGGACACGGTCGCCGGCACCCTGCATTACGCGGAGCTCCCGGTGGGGGCGTACACAGGGCCGCGATTGGCTGCGTGGATCAGCAGCAACTTCGCTTCCGCCAGCTACACCGCCGAGACAAATGAGCTCGACGTGACCTACGACGGCGTGCGCCTCATCCTCAACGATGCCGAGCTCCGGCAACGCTTCCCAGGCACGGCCCCCTACCCGCCGGGCGCCTCCCCGGAGCTGGAAGTGCTGCTCCGCCCCAAACTCCTGCATCCCGTTCAAGGTCTGGATGTCGGGGGCCGAGCTGGGTCGGGAGGCGTCCGTGTCGGTTCCTCCGCCTCCACCCCAGCCCAAAAGGTGCTCTGCCGCCACCATGCCGCCGTGCAGTGCCCATGCGGTTCCCACGAGTGCGGCCGCCCCGCCTGCCACAGCCAAGCCCCCCGCCGCTGCTCCCATGCCCGCAGCGGTGCCCAATGCTGCCTCGCCAAACAGCGCAAGCGCGCCCGGACCCGCTGCGGCCTCTGCAGCACCTGCCGCTTCTGCAGCCCCCGCAGCCATTTCTGCTGTGGAAGCGAAGCCCTCGGTCGCCTCCGCCTCGGCCACCTGCTCGCTCATGAACTGCTCGATGTCTCGGGCTGCCGCCCTCTCCACCTCCTGGGCTCGCTGTCCCGCCCGCTCCAGAAGCGGCTCGACTTGACTTGGCCGGCCGATGATTTGGGGTGGAGCTACTTCGTCGGGCGGGGGCGCGAGGCCCTCGGGCGTGCGCGGAATGCGTAGGTTCCGGTCGATCCAGTTCCTTCCCCTGCGCGCTGCATTGTATAGGTCTTGTCCGTGCCCCGCAATGGCAGAGGCAGAGCCCGCCAGTCCAGCTGCAGCTCCCGCAGCGGCTTCAGCCTGCTGCATCCGGCTGAGGAAGCTTGGCGGTGCTGGGGGCTGAAACCCGTCGTTTCTTAGAGCCTGCCCGGGGTCCACGGCCCCAAAATCCGGTTCGCTGTCCATGTCAAAGGGCCGTGGGCGCAAAAAATCCCGGCGGGGGAAGGGCACTCCATCGTAGCCCTTCGTTGGCATCCTCGTAGGCTGCTGCAGGGTTCACGGTCGTGTGGGGCAGCGGGGCTGGCTCGGGCTCGGAGCTCTGGGGATAGTCGTCCAGCCAGAAGTGGCTGGAAGTCAGGATGCTGGCATTGCGGTTTGGGAGGTCGATGGGCAAGGGCTCGCCCTCAGCGATGTAGCCCAGGACCTGTGAGTATGACGGCCGTACGCGGAAGCCGTGCGCACGCCGCTCCTCCATGTCTTTACATGAGGCCGCCATAAACCGCAGAGTCGCTAGTGTTGCGCCCGGCAGCCACGTCGCGGGCCACGCGACGCACGCCCGCCCGCTCGGCGGGGGCCCACCTCAACTGGGGGATCCTCCTGTTAACGGCGTCGACTGCACGCCCCACTTCATCCGTATAGGCCTCGCCTTCCTGGCGCTGCCGCCGGTTGGCCAGCCACTCGTTGAAGGCCCGAGCATCGATCAATTGCTGCTGCCGCTTGTAGAGCAGCGGCGTCAAGTTGTAGCTGGGATACTGCTTGTGAAACGCCCGCAGCATCGCGGCCTCATTGCGCCGCTCGGGGAAGGGCATCATCTCTTTTTACAAGTCCATTGTGTTTGCGAGCAGGAGCTCATGGAAGCGGTCGGCTCGCGAGAGCTGCCGGGCGCGGCGAGCCTCCGAGGGCGTCATACGCACGGGTTGCTGGGGCTCAGGCGGGGGCTCTTGTGCTCGCTCCTGGTGGGGCTCTTGCTGCGGCTCCGGTGTCGGCGACTCAGCATGCTTCGGAAGCTCCGCCACGGCCACAGTCGGGGGCGGCTTTGGCTTGTTCTTCGAACCTGGCGGTCGCCCTCGCCGTTTGGGTTGGGGCGCTTCCTGAGGAACCTCGGTCGGCGGCTCGGCCACCGCGGCAGGCTCGGCAGGCTCGGGAGGCTCGGCCACCACCGGCTGCGCGGGAGGCTCGGCCACGGCGGGCTCGGTGGCCACAGGAGCGGGTTCATCCTCAGCCATTTTCTTTTCCAATTATTTTTTTTATCGTTCGGTGTCGAGGAAAACCACAAAGGAAATGCTGGTGCCTCGAGTGTTCACGATGTTGCCCTGGTAGTCGGTGAGCTTGAAGCGCAACTGACGCAGGGTTATGGGCCCGTGCAGCTGAACCCAGTGCCCCTCTGACGTCTCGGTCTCCATGACGTGGCCCACGCCTTTCGAAACGACGATCTTGCAGAGGATGTCGTGCCCCAACGGGCCCACTGTCGTCTCCCCGTTGGCCAGTGTTGGGCACCTGAGGTACAGTTCTGAGTCCGAACGGATTCATCGTCACAAAGACGAAGCGCTGCACAGAGCCTGTGAGGTAGCTGGGGCCGAGGAGGTGGTTGATGGACAGGGGCTTGCTGGGCAGCCACAGGCCTCACGGCAACGCCCGCAGTTTTACCGCATGGACACCGACAGCGAATCGGAGCCGCGGGCCCAGCCGCCCCCGCGAGTGCAGGCTCGCCCCGCGAGGCCCACGCGCTTCCCCACGGGCTTGAACCCCGCTCCCTTGGCGCAGTCCTCGGGCAGCGAGTCCTCCCGCGGGCCTCGCATGCAGAGGCCGTCCCGCGCCGCACCGCCCCCATCGTTCGAGGCGCTTCGAAGCGCGAGCGAGCCGGAGGCCGCGTGAATCTTTCGCTACAAGTAAACAGTATGGAGCAGGTAACTGCTGCCGTAAATGATGAGCTGGTCCAGTCTTTGTCGTTTCGGTTGGAGACCTCCAACGTTAACTATGTGCAGAGCCGCAAAGACGTCCAGTACTACCCGAGCTCCCTGAGCGTCTTCACGCCGACCACGAGCCGCGTGTGCCGCATCCCGCTGACCAGCGGCATGGACTTCGTGGACGGCGAGAGCGTCAAGCTCGGCTTCACGGTGCGCAACACCTCCACCACGGCGACGCTGCAGCTCGCCTCGCCGGACCCGAGCTGTCTCATCGACCGCATCGAGGTCTTCGCGAACGGCACTCGCATCGAGGACATCTCCTATTACAACCGCTGCTCGTACCTCTACAGCCTCCTGAAGAACGAGGAGTGGTGGCTGAACCGGCACATCCAGGGCTTCCTGGCGGACGGCGGGGGCCACGCCGAGGAGATCCCGGCCTCGGGCTCCCGCACCGTGCTCATGAGCCCGCACCTCATCGGGATCTTCAACTGCGGCAAAATGTTGCCCCCCGAGCTCGGCCTTGTTCTTCAAATCACCTTCTGCGACCCCACCGACGGGGCCCGCAACGTGAGCGGGAGCCAGGAGTACACCATCGAGAACGTGAAGCTCTACGCCTCCCAGGTGACCCTCGACTCCGCCCTTCGCGAGAGCTTCCAGAGGATCATGACCAGCGGCCGCAGCCTGGTTTTCAGCTTCCCGACGATGCACACGCAGCTCTCCAGCATCCCCGCAGGGTCCACCAGCTACAATATTACAATAGCACGGGCATTTACGAAATTGCTCGGCGCCTTTGTGACGTTCAACAAGACCACGGAGGACCACGTGGACAATTTCGAGTACCCTGGAGCGAATGCGAATCGGAACCTCAAGGGCCAGCTGCAGCTGGGTGCGTTGCAATATCCTAGGACGGCCAACGAGAGCATCGCCGAATGGCACCACTTTTTGGAGATCCTGGCGGGCACCTATGACTCCAAGCTTCGCAACATGCGCATCCGGGACAACCTCTACGGGAACACGCAGTTCATCGCGGCCTTCCCGGTGGAACGAGTGCCCAAGCATCCGCTCTCGGGCATCTCGACCCGCTCCGGCGACCTCTGTCGCTTCAGCTTCAGCAACATGGAGGCGGAGCGCGTGGACCAGTGCTTCGTGCACATGCTCTCCTACCAGCTCGTGACGCTCTCAGGAGCTGGGGTCAGTTCCCTCGACTAGTAAAACATGAGTCTTTTTGAGTCGACCATCACCGGCAACATCCTCAACGATGGCCAGACCCCCATCACCACCATCGAGATGCAGGGGATCTCTGCGGGGCAGCTCGCAACGGTCCTCACGGCCTACACACCCCTCACAGACACCGCTGCCAACACCGCATCCATCGGGACCAACTCGTCCGCCGTCACGGCACTGCAGGCCCAGGTGGCAGCCATCCCGGCACCGCCCGATTTGACCCCTTACGCTTTGGCAGCTGACTTGGCAGCCGCCGAGGGCCTCATCGCCGGCAACGCTTCTTCCATAACCACTCTCAGCACCAGCCTCACCACGGGTCTGGCGGGGAAAGCGAACCAAAGCGCCCTCGACGCGCTGCAGCTGGACGTGAACTCCAAGAGCACGCCCGCCTCCGTGGACCTCAAGCTAGCCAACCATCCCACTAACGCTTCCATGAACAGTGCCATCACCAGTGCCGACAACGCAGTACTCGCGCAGGTCGCGAGCACCTATGGGCTGAAGAGCACGCAGGACCAGCTGGCCCTCGACGTGGCGGCCCGGCAAACAGCCGCGGACGTCGACCAGAAAATAGCGACGGCTCTTTTGGACCGGCCAACCACCACCGACCTCAGCAGCACAGTGGCCCTGCGCACCACACCCGCGGACGTCTCGCAGCTCATCGCCACGGCCCTCCTCGCGTACGTTCAACAGGCGGCCTTGGACGCCGCCCTCGCCCTCCGCGACGGGAGACTCGACGCCGCCGAGGCGGCCCTGGCGGTGCTGCAAGCCGCGGGCTTCCAGTCGGCTGCCGACGTGGCTGCAGCGCTTGCCACCGCACTCGCGGGGTACACGGACACCGCGGGGCTCAACAGCTTGCTGGCCGTGCGAGATGTGCGCCTGGATGGGCACGATGCGGAGATCCTGGCGCTGCAAGGTGCGGGGCCCTTTGCGACGGCGGCGGACCTCTCGGCTTCCGAAACGAGCCTGCAGTCCGCCATCGATGCGCTCACAGCAGCCCTGGCGGCACTCACCACGGGCGGCGGCACGAACCTCGCCAACGCCCAGGCGTGGTCCGGGCAGACGACCTGGGATCTGCTGGTCGGAACGAACACAATTAGGAACTGGCACTTCAACGCTCCCCTGAGCGTCTCCCTCGAGAACGACAACTTCACGCTGAGCCTGGCCTGCGATGCGTACACGCAGGCGGAGGTCAATGCTCTTCTGGCGCCCCTGGCCAGCGAGTCCTGGGTGCTGGCCACCCTGGGCAGCTACTACACAAGCAGCGAAACCAATGGAGCCATCACTGCAGCTCTGGTTCCGTACAGCACCACCACGCAGATGGATGCCGCGATTGCCGCGGCTGTGGGCGGCATCGACTTGAGTGCATACGTGCCGTGGACCGGGCTTCAGGCGCCCATCCTGAACGAGATCGCTATAGCGCTCGCATCCTACTACGACTCCGCGCAAGTGGACGCCCTCATTACGGGCGCAGCTGTTTCCAATGCGCCCGCCTGGAGCGGGAACACCACCTGGGAGCTGCTGACGGGGCAGGCCCTGCGGAACCTGCACTTCGCCGGGCCCCTGGTGGCCAGCCTCCAGAACTCGGGCAACACGCTGCAGATCGAGTGCCAGGCCTACGACCAGAGCCAGACGTACACGCAGGCCGAGGTGAACGCGCAGATATCGAGCGCCGTGGACGCCCTGAACGTTTCGCAGTACGCCACGCAGGCCGACATCGACAGCTCCATTGCTTCGGAGCTGACCAACTACTGGGACCAGGGCGAAACCTCGGCGGAGATCGCCAGCCAGATCAGCTCCTCTGGGCTCCTCACCGAAGCGCAGGGCGACGCCCGG